AATCGACATTCCTCTAAAGAAGATATACAAATGGCCAGTAAGCAGAAGATACTCAGCATCACTAATCATTAGGGAAATGTAAGTCAGAGCCAAAATGAAATTTTTATTCATACCCATTATTTTTTTTTAAGGTAAAATAACAAATATTGATGAGAATGTGGAGAAATGGAAATCTTTGTGCACAATTGAGGGGAAATGTAAAATGGATACAGTTACTACAGAGAACAGTTTGATAGTTTCTTAAATAATTAAACAGAGTTAGATTAGGACCCAGCAGTTTCACTTGTAGGTATATATCCAGAAGAATTGTAAATAGAGACTCAAACAGATACTTACACACCAACATTCATAGCAGCATTATTCTAGACCCCAAAGGTGGAAACAGCCCAAATCTCCTTCAGCAGATGAGAGGATAAACAAAACAGTATTGTCATACAATGGAGTGTTTTTCAGCATTGAAAAGAAATGGAAATATTTTTTCTTTTAAAGATGGAGGGTCATTCTTGTTTTTTTTTTTTTTTTTTTTTTCCTGCTTCATCCTCCCCACTGGGAATACAGTTACATGTCACTACACCTGGCTCTTTTAGACAGGGTCTTTCTATTTGACCCAGGCCAGGCTTGACTTTGCAATCTTCATGCCTCATCCTCTCGAGTCATTAGGACTACAAGAACATGCCATCATGCCTGGTTTGTAGGTTGGATTGGAACTCAAACCCGCATCTCCCAAGTAGTTCCAGTCTGTAGAGCACAGCATGCAATTGTGCTGTGCCAAGAATGAAATTTTGATACATGCTACAGTGTGGATAAACTGATAACATTATAATAAGTGAAATAAGAGAGAAACAAGAGGACAGATATTATGAGATTTTACTTATATAAGATGTATGGAAAAGCAAATTTGTAGTAACAGAAAGTAGGAGAGGGGTTATTTTGAGATGGGGAGGGAAAAATAGGGGGTGATTAATAGGTACAGAGTTTCTTTTTTCTTTTTTTTTTAAAGAATTATTTTAACTTGATTTATTATTATTATCATTATTATTTTCCAGTTTGATCAGAGACAGAGAGAGAGGAAGTGAGAAAGCAAGCCACCAGGTCCGAGACTTGAACTGTGGTTGGCCATGTGGGAGTCCAGTGCCTTTAACCACCAAGCCACTTGCCGGCCCCACTAATAGGTACGGAGTTTCTGATTGGGATGGTAAAACATTCTGGGAAAAAAATAGTGGTTATGGTTGTACAGGATAGTTGAATGTACTTAATGGCACTGAATTGTTTACTTAGAAATGATTAAAACCAGGGCTCACAGGTGGCCTGGTGGTTAAGGGCTCTGTGGACTCCTATAGGACCGACTGTGGTTCAAATGCCAGTCCTGGCAGCTTGCTTTCTCACTTTTCCCCTTTCTTGCTCTGTCCCTCTCTGGTCAAATTAAAAATAAATAAAATAATTCTTTAAAAAAATGGTTAAAATGATAGGTAAATGTAATGTTATATTTAAAAATAAAATAAATGGACTGATGCTCATTGGTCAGTATACTAGAAGTTCCCATGTGATCAGAGAACCTAGGCACTGAGAGTAATTTTGTGAATAAACTAGAAGAGATGGTTATGGTAAGAAACTGGAGTACCTAATATACTGATTCGAGAGGTAACCCCAGATTAAAATCTAGGTATGGTGTGTAACTTGTAAGGAATTGGTACTTGAGAAATGGGCAGGGCAAAATTTAAATTTTTAGCTTGTCATTTTTTAGCTATGTAATTTTGTCATATAACTAAAGCTTTGTGAACTTTTGTCTGTGTGTGTGTAATCATAATCATCAGACTTATGAATATTATGTAAGTGAATGCATACTTAAAAGGAACAGTGTAGGAAACTTAAAATGATAAAAGTAGAGAGAAATATTTGAGAGAGTAGTAGAGGTGATTTCCCAGAATTGAAGAAGAAAGATCTCAGATTGAAAAGGTCCACGTAAAGTACCATACTGAGTTAAAACAAAAGCAAGGTACCAGCAGATGGTATAATGGTTACATCGCTGGACTTCCAGGTGGTTGACCGCAGTTTGAGTCTCGGACCCAGCGGCTTAAAACACACTGGGCACATGTGTGTGCATGCCCAGAATCCTGAGAGGAGACTGGAGAAGAAGGGATTATGGTGTGGCCATGCCCCTGGCGGGGGTGATTTCTTGTTTTCTGTCTCTTCGGCAAGTGCACGTGCCCTATAGCAAAAATCCCTCTAAAAAAACAAACAAAACATGTGCAGTTATACAGCATTGAAAAATGAAATGTAAGACTGATATAAAAGTCTATAAATGAAAAGTTTATCACATTTTCACTAGTGGTATGAGTACAAGAAGACAATGGAGTAATTTTTCCTTTTTAAAGAATTATTTATTTAATTTTGTTAGAATTTTCTCCTTTAAACAGAGAGAAAAAGAAGGGGAGAGTGTGAAAGCAAGTCGCCATGTCTGGGACTTGAACCATGGTCAGCTATGTCGGAGTCTAGCATCCCAACCACCATACCACCTGCTTGGTTCAGAGTAATATTTTTTGAACACTAGAGAAAATATTGAAAGAAATTAACTTTAAACTTTGAATTTTTAAAATAATTATTTATTTAAATTTATTTATTTTAATTTTTGACAAGAGAGAGACAGAGAAAGAGAGGGAAAGTGAGAAAGCAAGCCATCAGTCTAGAATTTGAACTGTGGTTGGCCGTGTGAGAGTCTAGCGCCTCAGCCACCATATCAAATGATAGCCTCAAAACTTGAATTTTGTATTCATCAACTCTGAGTGACGTCTGAAGGCTGATTGAAATATTTTCAAACATAAAAGGACTTGGATTAGCTATACAGAGTATCACATGGGAAACATTTTTGGAGAAAGAAACAAATGGAGAGTCTAGTCTATCAGATCTTACAAGATATGTAATATGCACATGTAAGATGTATAATTTAAAGGGTGATCAAATACCCAATTAAATATTTTCTTAATGTAAATTAGCTATAAGGCCAAAGAAAAGAAATAGAAATATGTCTATAAAGTATGATGGGCATTGGATGGAGAAGAAATCACAGGACTTGAGGTTATAGTAAAATTCTTTTCTTGATGAAAGAATGAGAAAAGAGAAATCACCCACCAGAGAGAATGGCCATGCCACAGTCCCTTCTCCTCCATTCTCCTCTTGAGACTTTGGGTATGCATGCACATGTGCCTGGCATGTTTTTCAAAGTTCTGTTTCTGGGACTTGAACCACAGTCAGTTCTGTGGGATCCCATACCTTAACCTCCATGCCACCTGCTGGCCCAAGATAGATATTTTTGGTATGATCTCACTCTTTCATGATTCTTCTGCCTCACCTTCTCAAGCAGCCAGGATTACAGGCATATACAATGACGTCCGGTGAGCTCAGTTTGGCTGGGGAGCTGAACTCTGGACCTCCCATGTGTCTTCTAGTCTCCAAAGTGGTGGTACTACTAGTGACCACCCCAGCTAGGTTAGTTATTCACTTTTGAGATCTCTGTACTATCTGGTTTAATAGAAGGTACTTGAATTCTCTTATCTGCTTATGCATTTATCTTGTGCTATATATGTTATTTTGGTTGTGGTATTTGAGAATTCTAAGAGCTCCTGAATATTTTGAAAGAATCTTGGGAACCCTAAGTGGTCCTGAGACTACATTTGAGAACTGCCTTTTTCCCCTTCAATTATCAGATGTGTGCATTCATCAGAGAGAGTTGGAAAAATAGAAAAAGAACTCCCAAGTGGTCCACAGCTATGCACAGTGCCTTCTCCATTTCTCCATCCTGTTGGGATTTTGGACAAACATGCACATGTGCCCAGCGTATTTTTTAAACCACAAGGGCTGTGATTTGAACCATGGTTGGGCATATGGGTTCCAGCTCCCTTACACACTAGATTGTTCTTGGTCTGAGAATTATTTTTCCATACAGCTTTCTTTTCTGTTACTCCCCCTATTGGTGTCTTCCCTGTTGTAGAATTAGTGTTTTTCATTGTCTTATATTCTCTTCCTCTCCCAGTTTCATTTTTGGTATTTCTTATAATACATTTTCTTCCAGCTTAAGTCTGATTTTTCTCTATCAGGACTTCCCTAATTATTTTGGTCTCTGTGATTAGCTCTTCACTAAAATTTATTTGCAAATGTTCCACGATTTATACTGAAATGTTCTCCTTTTTCTCTCATGTCAGTTACATTAAGAGCTCCTTTAAAATAGGGACTTTAAAACTTAGTAAGACAAAACAGAATTTCTGTGTACATACACATGACATGAAGTATAAATATTTGAATCTAGGGCCAGTAAATGGCATAGTGGCTAAGGCACTGAGCTTTTACATGGCTGACTGTAGTTTGAGCTTTGGACCCAGTGGCTTGAAAATCATGCCAGGTGCATGTACTTACATGCCCAGAATCCAGCGAGAACAGAGGAGAAGGCATTGTACTGTGACCATACCCCCTGGAGGGTGATCTCTTACTTTCCATCTCTCTGTTTCTCTCTTTATGGCAAGCACATACATGCCCTATGACAAAATATTAAAAAAAAATAAATTGAACTGAAAAATAGGTAATATCTGTTTGTTGATTGGAGGTAACACTCTCCGAAAAAGTATGGATGGATCCCACATTAACTTTTTGCCCTTAAATTTTTGGGGGGAGAACTACACTATCTTACCCTCATTTGCTACATGGTTAATATTTTTAGTATTGCAATTAGTGCTTTCTTTTTTTAAAAAATTGTTTTATTCAACTTTATTAATTATTATTATTTAATTTGACCAGAGAAAGAGAGGAAAAGTGAGAAAGGAAGCCACCAGGTTCCGGGCTTGAACCGCAGTTGGCAGTGTAAGAGTCCAGCACCTTTAACCAGCATGCCATCTGCCAGCCCTGCAAGTAGTGCTTTAAGAGACCTTATGTAAATAAAACCATCTTCTTTTCATGATTATTGATCATACAAGTCACTTATTGATTGATATATTTTCTTAATATTTCAGAAAAAAGCCAAAGGACAAGAACTGTTGGATCAGATTATGTACCACCTGGACCTTATTGAAAGCGACTATTTTGGTCTGAGATTTATGGATTCAGCACAAGTAGCAGTGAGTAACTGTTTTGTGGAGGTTCCTATATGGGAGCAGAAATGGAAAATTTCAAATGATGTGCTAAGTGCTAGAAGGCTGCATATTCTTACTGTGTTCTTTATTTCTTATGATTTCCTGTGATCTGAAGCTTTGATCACTTCCTTTAATGTCACCTGAAGTACATGTAAAAATTATGAGTTCTGTCTTTAACCTGAAGTTGTAGAGCAAGGTCTTTAAGGAGGCAACTTGGGAATCTGTTTTTTAATTAACCAACCACTGTTTTGGTTGTCACACAAGAGTTTGAGAACCACTGTGTAATTGAAAGAATTCTGTAATAGAATGGGAGTTTTATGGGCCCCTAAGTAAGTGATATAAGTTTCTAATTTATAAATTAAAATGAGTAAACTAAGGTACCTGTATATCCCTTTCAGATCTGTGATTCTGTGTCTATAAATAGTTTTTCTTTGATGTGCATTTCAGATGAGAGAACAGATTTATAATAGAGTAGGAGTTAGGGGCTATTCAAAAGACTGAGTACTGTATTTGGATTTCATTGGAGGGTGTTTGAAAGAAAGTAGATGATAGTGGATGATAGAATTGGGCAGTGGATTAGCAGCCATGCCATTGAAACTGAAGTAGAAAATGTTTAATAAGTTAGCAATATTTTATTCTATAATAATTGGGATGAGTTAATTTTTCAAGCAGGGTTACACTTTACTTCAGGAGTTTTGTACTTTCTTTCCATTTCTTTCTTTCTTTTTTTTAAGAGATTTTTGCTACAGGGTGCATGTGCTTGCTAGAGAAATTGAGAGAGACAGTCTTTCCATTTCTTAAAATATTTAAGTAACTGCGGAACGAAGTAGACATGCAACTATTATGAAGTTGTCTTATTGGCTCCATTGATATCAGCAGTTACTGAACTATGGGATGGTATCATGTTATTTTTCCCTCATTTGATACACATACAAGTGCCTTTCTTGTCATAACTTTTGCTAAAGGCAGCATTAGAATTTTTAATCTCTATTCTTTTTAGTTTTAGTTTTTCCAAATCTAGGCCTTATGAATTTAATCTTGGGACCAGCAGTTAGCTAATGGCTATGTTGTTGGACTACCATGTATTAGATCGCAGTTTGAGTCCTGGACCCGGAGGCTTAGACTCATGCCGGGTGTGTGTGTGTGCACATGCCCAAGATCCCGAGAGGAAAATAGAGGAGAAAGGATTGGGGTGTGGCCATCCTCCCTGGAGGGTGATTTCTCGCTTTCTGTTTCTCTGTCTCTCTCTGTCTTTCTGGTGAGCGCATGTGCCCTGTAGCAAAAACCTCTCCAAAAAACGGAAATAAAAATTAATCTTAATCTTAGGCTTTTACTTTTTTTTTTCAACCAAAATACTCTACATTATGTGAGTTGAACTAGAAGAAGAACAATTGTTAGATGAAAAATGTTAAAAATGAACCCTAGATAAAACTTAAAAACCTGAGGGCAGCAAGAGGAAGTGGCTTGGTAGTTAAGGGTGCTGTACTCCCACATGGCTTTGAGTCCCAGACCTGACGTCTTGCTTTCTCTCTTTCC